TTAAATTGCAACTTCGGTAGCAGTTATACCACCTAAGGTTGATTTGAATGTTGGGTGCATTTAAGATGTTCCAGGAATGATTAACGCTGTTGCATGCCTCAATCGTGGGACAAATCAGTATTACCATAGGTATTCACGTACATGGAATTGGGAAGATAAGACAACCACCAAACTTAATCGAAAGGAATTACAAGAAATCTCTCCAATTGACATTTATAAAGGGGAAAGTAGTTATCGATTGTTTTTATCTTGAACATTTAAGAAAGTAAACAAAAATAACCTGATAGTGGGCATAGTGCGTCCTCCCAGATGAAGATCCTTTATTCCTTTCTAGCCATATTTCCCAAATTGATGCCTTAATTGCCATAGTGAAAGCACTGTAACCTTGCTTTTGGGTGTCTGCAAGCACCTGATGAACAAAATTCTTAACACAAACAGGGGGAAGGAATGGCACTTAAAAATGTATTGGACATCCTGTCAATACTGATGAGAGATTGGACGATGGATAAAAATGTGAATTGCCGTCTCTCCATTGTGCTTGCAAAGAACCCGCTGACCTGGACGGAGAGAGGAATTCTCTTCGAATTCTATTTGTTTGAGAAAACCTAGAATAATACATTAGTAAAATGAAATGTATGAATGCATCTGAGTGTGATTTAATATTTTTTCATGGATATCTCGTTGTATTTTTAGGTGAGAAGGATTCCTAGACAGCCCAAAAATATTTTCTCATGATGGCCAATTTTTGTCATTACATCTAATGACCGTTTTGTTTTATGTGTCACTTACTCACTTTGATCTATCCCCATAAGGTTTACCCGAAGTTTTATGAGTTGAGTAATTGACAGCATTCTTTAAAGAAGATAACTTCTTAATTCCATTTGTCACAGAGATTCAGCCCTCAATGAGGCTACGGAAAATATTAAGAGCCTGGAAAAGAGGCTTGAATCTGCTAATTTGCACCTTCATTCAGAAAAGGAAGCTTGGGAACATAGCCTTCAGAACTTGGAAGAATCATGGCGAAGTAAGTAATATCTGCAGTGTGAATGACAGTATTTCTTGGTTTTCCTTTACAGAGTGATAGATTAGTATCATTAGTTGTTGCAAAGAAGATTATTTACCGTATTATTTTATGTGCAGTCAGATGTGAAGCTCTGAAATTTCAGTTTGAAGAATCCTCTAAGCAAGATGTAAAAAAGGAATTTGAAGAGTTGAAACAAGGGTATAGAAAGTTGAAGGCAAGTATTATACTTCTCTCTTCTTTTTTTGTTTCTTGTGACTTACTCTAAAATAATTTTATCCTCAAGTTCTTACTTTGCTGTGCAATCTATAGGAAGAGCATAACTCATTCCGTGATCTTGCCGATAGAATGATCGAGGAAAAGGATACCGAAATTTCTAGGCTTTTAGATGATAATAAAAATCTTCGTCAATCTTTGGAATCAAAACCTCCCGTATGTTTATTTCTACTCCTTTTGGTTGTGATTTTTTGAAAATTTTTATAGTGTTCTCTATACTCATTACTGACCCTTGTCTTCTATAATCATCTCAGGCAGATAAAATTGATAATACTGCAGGTAGGGATTTTTCCTTTCCCTATTCATTTGCTGCTCATATTTGATACTATAATAACTGAATGAAGTTGGACAATTGACTAAAACTGGCCATTGAAATCCTAACGTTCTTTTTCTTCAACTGGTATCAGCTACTCAACAACAAGGTTCGTCAAATTTGAGCGCCTCCATTGCCGAACAACAGATTCTGGTATGTTCAACGTTCTCTCATAAAAATGTGTTGTAACTTATATTTGTTTGTAATATCATTTTTGTAGTAGAAGTTTTATTAATTAAAATATATAGTCAAGTTTAAATTACATTATCAATTTCTCTTCTATCAAAGTGTCTAACATGGAATTTTTCTTTCTTTCTCTTACTTGTATACGTGACCCCATGGTTGCTTACTGCCATTGCTACATTAATTAAAGAAATTTATGATTTTTTAAAATTATTTTGCGTGATATGCCAATGTTAGCATAACTTGACTGATTTAGCCATTGACCAAGAGAGTAATAGGTTTGAATCCACACCCTTTACAAAAAATAATAATAATAATAATAATAAATAAATGAAATAATAATAATAATAATTCTTTGATGTATTTCACGTGGAATTAGCTGGATCTAAAACATAGTGAACTTATTCATGATTGTTTCCTATTTTTCGTCTCTTAACCAGGTTTTAGCAAGGCAGCAGGCTCAGAGAGAAGAACAACTGACCCAATCACAGCGGCATATCTTAGCTCTTCAAGTATATGATTCACTGATTGAGATAATTTGTATTTCATTTTCTAGATTATGATTCTAATAATTCTGTATTTATAGGAAGAAATTGAGGAGCTGGAACGGGAGAATCGTCTGCATAGCCAACAGGTAAAACTAAGTCCAAATTGATCCAATTTTTAATATGTCTTGTCATTGTAGATCAACTACTAATATTTTTGGTGTGAAATTTAAACATTATTTCATGGGTGTAGCAAGCAATGTTAAAGGCTGAATTTCGTGATATGGAAAGATCACAGAGAAGGGAGGGTGTAGACATGACATATCTGAAGAATGTCATCTTGAAGCTCCTAGAAACCGGTACAGTATAACATTTTTCTGCTTTGAAAAAACCAATCCTTTTCAATTACTATCCTTGTTCCAATTTATGGGTTTAAAGATTGATTGATATTAGGCTTTTATTTATTTTACACCCTTTTCACGTTTTCATGTCCCCAATTTTATTTTTTATTAGGTGAAGTAGAAGCTCTGCTGCCTGTGGTTGCCATGCTCCTCCAGTTTAGTCCAGAAGAGGTTGTATATGCTTTCTATTATATCATATCTCTATCCTCTGAATCATCAGTAAATATTGTGTTTTACTTTCTTAAATATGGCCAATTATCAAGAGCAATTAGAAGAACCCATGGAACTGAAAGTAGAAAACCATTGCAAGGCTTACAAGGATCACCTAAAATAATAGGAATATGATCATGTTTCAGAATTATTGACATGCCCTCAAAATTTGGTTGGTGGGCTTGCATTCCTATAGTTTATATGAGTCTCTATAGTTCTAAATCAGTAATCAATTATGGGCATGAAAAATGAATACAAGGAAATGGTAATGAACTTTAACCCCCCCAAAAAAAAAAAACATTTTACCCTGGCCTCATGTTTTTTTTAATAGTCACATCTCATCTATGGTGAATAATTTTGGTGGATGTGCTTATTATACAGACACAAAAATGTCAACAAGCCTACCGATCTTCGGCCGATGTTCCTCCGAGCCCCGATTCTTCAGGATCTGCTCTCTCTCTCTTCTCAAGATTTGCATTCTCATGACAGATGAGAGGGAGCCTCTTGAAAATTTCTCAGCACTTTGCAGGTTCAACGTCTGCCACTGTGGCTTGAGCAAATGTTCTCTTCAACTGCCGGCAGACATGCAGAGTTGCCGTAACTGTAAGAATTCGGAACTGTTTCTTGTAAGAAACCATTCTTTCATGCCAAAATGAGAATCTACAGAGAGTTGTTACAATATAGATTAGGATAAGATCTACATGGAACATGACAGAAGAGAGGGAGAGAAATTTATATTTATCGTCTGAGAGGAGGAGGCAGGAGTGCTGTAATTTCATGAAAATGTTTTCTAATATATGCATGCAGTGATTTTTTTGTTCATAGTTTGCTACATTTGAACCTCTTGATGGATTCTTTTCTCCTTGTGTTTGGAAGTGAACGAAATTGATCACTTACAGGTAAATGAATTGAATTTAGTAGGCCATCGTTTTGAAGTTGGGTTGGTGGGGCAATCTGATTGGGATGTTTATTTAGAGATCTGGATAGCTATTTTATTTTGTGTTTTTGAAAATTGTTGTGATGCCAAAAATTCTAAAAACTCTAGCAGCAGCCAGCTCGGCTGTCCAACCCTTCCTCCTCTCACGCATGCATGCAGCCCTAAATGAGCCCAAGCTGCCTACCGGAGCCACCGCTTCTTCTACTTTCTCCTTCTCCCGCATGTTGTGCGACCACCACTACAGCCAACGGCACTGCTGCCCCTCCTGCACCAGCGCCATTGTCACTGTCTCTTGCCTTCATTGACTGCTGCTCCAGGCACTGACCGATCCCGAGACAAGGAAGATTGTCGTGCCTCTTTGCACACCACTCGCTCACCTAAGTCGACGCCGTTGCCCAAGTCGCTGGTGGTTGAAGGAAATAACAGTAAGTTTCACAAGACTCGTTATTTTAAACTTGACGTGCTACCTAAGTTCCTACATGTGTGACATTGAATTAGAATAGAATTTGACCTTTTCATAGAACAGTGAGTAATAATAAAGCCTTGGTTCCTTGGATCCTTCTATTATGTGTAGTTTATATTGTCCTCAAGGTGATTTGAATGTAGGGTTTTGGTTTTAATTTTCCATCCAAGTCTTTTTTCATTATATTAAATTAAATTTTAGAAAAAAATCAAACTCGACTCTAAATTCATAAATTTTAATAAAAATTAAAAATTTCACAAAACTTTGGCTGATCCACAATTTTGTTTTTAAAAAAAAAACTCTAATATTATTTTTCTCTAAAATTTTATTAATTATTTTTCATACATATGCTTAATGCTTTATAAATCATTGATCACAGTACTTGGCAAAACATAATCAACTTGAATTCGGGACAGCTATTCTAAAAGACTAGATTTGTTATCTCATGTTTGTTTGTCGTGAAAAAATACCAATTGAAGTGGAGGAGGGCTTTTTCAAACAAAAAGGAGCTCCAAATATTTGATATATTTCTCTTTGAATGAGATCTCAATTCCAGGCATGATACACTTTTTAGTTATTAGGAGAATCCAAGTACTCTCTTTCGGATCCAGGAAATAAAATAGCCCAGAGATCTTTTTAGGGGGAGCGGAACAATCAACCTAAAATTTTAGAATTGGTTAAAAAAAAAAAAAAAAGGAAAAAAGTGTGAGCTTATTATAGAGTCAAAGCCTTGATTGATATAGCAGCCTATAGAAATTATTGACTCAAAAGCTTCGATTATTATATAATCATCAGCCTAAACTACGACTACTACTACTCATCTTTTTTCTGCAGAAGATCAAAAATCCTCATGTGAAAATTTATCTCAAAAACCCCACTAAAAAACACAACTCCCCACCCCCACATTGGACAAACAAAGATCCAGCAAGATCACCAACAAAAAAAGAAACAAAACCCAAAACAAAACAAAGATCCAGCGTTATTTCACTTCAGACCTGCAAATTACATCTCACATTGTATGATATTATCAAGCATGCCTTCCCTGGAATTCCTTCATGAAAGCAACCAATTTCTCCACTCCAGCCAATGGCATTGCATTGTATATTGAAGCTCTCATTCCTCCCACTGATCTATGTCCCTTCAGCTGAACCATCTTCTCCTTTGCTGCTTCCTTCACAAACTCGCCTTCCAATTCTGCCTTCTCTAGAGTAAATGGTACATTCATCAACGACCTCACCGATGGCTCGACCGGGCACCGGTAGAACCCGTTGCTCTGGTTGATTGCCTCGTAAAGGATCTCAGCCTTCTTCTTGTTCTTCTTCTCTACCTCCCTTAGCCCCCCCTGTGCCAGCAGATCTTCAAATACCAATCCACACATGTAGATGCCATAACAAGGTGGGGTGTTGTAGAGCGACGAGTTTTCATGGTGGATCTTGTAGTCCAACATCACTGGAGTGATCTCTTGTGCTCCACCGATCAGATCCTTCCTGATGATTACAATGGTGACCCCAGATGGCCCTACATTCTTCTGTGCTCCTGCATAAATTATCCCAAATTTGGATATGTCCACAGGCTTCGAGCAGAAATTGGAGGACATATCGGCCACCAAGAGGCTCTTCGGATTTGGGTAGTTCTTGAATTCAACTCCATGGATGGTCTCGTTTGCACAAATATGCATATATTTGGCATTAGGGCTTTGTTCCAGATCCTCGAATGCAGGGATTTTGGTGTATTTTTCCGATTTGCCGGACCAAATTACCTTAGGTTTACAGTATTTCTGAGCCTCTTTGAAGGCCTTGTCGCTCCATGAACCAGTGACGACATAATCGACGGTGTCGTCGGGCTTGCACAGATTCAAAGGGATCGCAGCGAATTGAGTGGTGGCGCCACCCTGCAAGAACAAAACGGCGTAATCGGAGGGAATATCCAGAAGGCTACGGAGATCTGATTCGGCCTTCTGGATTATGGATGTGAAATCTTTACCTCTGTGGCTCATTTCCATAACGCTCATGCCAGATCCGCGCCAGTTGAAGAGCTCAGACTCAGCCTTTCTCAGGACAGTCTCGGGCAAGGTGGCAGGGCCAGCGGCGAAGTTGAAGACCCGATCATCGGAAGGATTCTGCGACGAAGAGGGATTTTGGATCCCGACAGAGGTGGTGGTGGACGCTACACAGGAGATTGAGATGCGCTTTGGAGAGGGAGAAGGGAGAGGGAGGGTGTTGAAGTGGGAGGTGGAAATGGAAGATTTGACATGGTGGGTATGTGGATTCTGAAGAAGAAAGGAGGTAGGGGAAGTAGTGGCCGCCATGGATGAGAAGATTTTGAGAGAAGGGGAGAAAGATTTGAAGAAGATGAAGAAGTGAGTCTGGTTTTTGAAGGGAAAGGGTTTGGTGGACGCCCCAATGGCTTCTTACAAGTGGCTTTATAGGAGGACGGGAGGGCTTTTCGCTCTCTTTGTTTGTTTGTTTTTTTCTTTTTTCAAGAGAAAGCTAGTACAAAGTATTTTGCTTTCTGGGTTTTTTTCTCTTATTAATATTTTATATTAAATATCATACTTAACACCATACTTTTCTTAAATAATTTTTCTATACTTTTCTTAAATAATTTTTCTATGCTAACCTCTTCATCGAGACTACATTCGAACTTTATTTAATAAAGATGCTCACGTGGGCAAGGATGAAAATTCCACCTCTCATCTAATTGTATCACCATGAAAATTTTCAAAAAAATTCTAAAGAGAATTCGAACGAGAAATATCGTTAACCTCTTTTATAGGTTTTTCAATGGAACGCTACTTTTTAATAAGTTTCATCTACATCGATCAAAATGGTGGACAAGATAAGAATAAATAAAGTGAATATAAATGAACTAAAAAGTAATTACTATTGCAATCTTGTGTTACATAAAATTTATAACGCTCTCAACACTAAATAAAATAAATGATATGCATAATATTATTAGGCAAAATTTATAACGCTCTCAACACTAAATAAAATAAATGATATGCATAATATTATTAGGCTTCAATAATTGAAGTATAACGTCTACTTTAAAATAACCCAACTAATCAAAACGTCATTAACCTCTTTCTATTAAGTCTGAGAGGATTCTAGATTTGTTGTTGGATTTACTTGGTCGGAAAATGACATGTTTTCCTAGGACGAGAGATGAAGTTTTGAGGCATACCTAAAGACAACTTAGTTGAGACATCAAATGTCAAAGGTTCAATTCTATCCGTGAACTCAAAGATATAAAGTTTGAGGTTACTTATAATAGGCTGTCTATCTCCAATGGTGCAAGAGAGAAATAAGTTCATCTCCATCTAATAACAACTTGTATCAATACAATCACATCATTTAGTTTGAAGAACTTTCGACCCTAATATCCAACCAACATAGATGATGATAAAGAAAAATTGGTGGTAAATGAAGAATAATAATAATAAAACAGAATGTAGGGGTAAATCGAGATAATCAAAATTATTCAGCTTGATGTATCAACTGGACCAAAACTTTCTACGGATCTATCTACCCAAAATTGACTCAAATCAATCCAGTATTTTACATGAATTTGTTACCCACTTGTCTTCAGAACCAGGGAAGCTATGTTCTTTACTAAAATTAATTTGAAACTCTTAAACGATACAGAAACACACAGGGAATGAATCAGAAATACCATTTTATGTCTATCTTGATTAATTCTATTACCTCTTTCTTCCTGGTTCGGGACGAATGCGCGGCGTTTAGTTGAGGAAAAACTCCGGTTGGATTTCTAGATCACCGGGAGTTCTAATCTGAACTGCTTCTACTATTGAACAGAAACGAACAGGGGCGGTCGTGTTGAAGTATGGCACTGTAATGATCAAATCTTGGGTAGAAACAAGTATGGTACTTGAATCATACACCTCCACGATGGTGCGCCGGTTTTGAGCAATTCAAAGAACAGCTTCTGATTCATACCCTTTAGGAATTTACTTAAAAAGGCTAGACAGCGGACGTTTGTGCTGCTCGATATCTGTTACATGTCTACGTTTCTTTTCAATATTCTCCTTTCCCTGAGGCTGCAAACCATGCTCTTTCTTCTCTGGCTTTCCTTCTTTCCCATTTACTTTGTCCATCTTCCATGGGTTGGCCTCTACAGCATGAAGTAGCTCCTTGGTAACCTTATCACGTGTTTCCTGGGATGGGGTCATCTTCTTAACCTGATTGTCCATGGTTTCAAGATTTTCTTGCATAACCTCACTCTCCCTCACTTCAAAGTGATGACATTTGCTTGACTCCAACAATGAATCCTCCATCGAATTTAATCCAGCATGGGGTAATTGAGATGCCTCTACTCCCTTTTTGTAGGGTTCTGCAATGTTAACACACCTTCCATCCTCAACTACCCTGTCAAAAATACTTCCCTCCTTCCCATCAAGCTTATTTTTCTTATTCCCTTCCCACTCAACTTCAGAACTAGATAGCAGTTTTCGAACTTTCTTATTTCTTTTAACCACCAATTGGTCCTTCACCGAATCAGAGACGGGTGAACTATAATTTTCCTCAGTAGTTGCATCAACACAAAGATTTTGTTTCACGTCAAGAATGATTCCATCTTCCTGCACAATTGCCTCTTTCAGGGTTTCCAAGATAACTTTTCCCAAGACAAATCTACTCTCATTCAAAATACCCTTCTTAAGCAGCTGATAGTCAATTTCAAAATTTTTTCTCGTATTTTTGTAGGATTCAACATCATTCACCAGCACTTCAATAATTTTAGCAACATCTTTGGCAGCTTTCTTGGACACAAACACCTAAAAAGAAGCACTAATTATTACAGGCACGGATAAAAGATCAAACGTAGTTGACGTTCTCATTAGAATTAATATAGACATTGGTAAGCAATATAAATGATGATTGTTAACTTAATATATAAGTATTATTTACCAAACTAGAGTGTGGAGAGGCTGGAAACGTTGACATGGCTTCTAAGAGACAGTCTGCTGAAGTTAAAGCAGCAATGCAACCCTGTACTTTTAAAGCAAAGTGAGTAACCCTTTCGGCAAGCTCTTCCGCTGATTTAAATTGAGCCGATCTTGTAATCTCCGGTCTTAAATTGATCTGCAGAAGAGAGTTTTCTCTTGCATAATTCACACCTTCATTCCACTCTCCATGGTACAAGGTGGCAGCAAAAGCCAGAACTATAAGAGAGTTCTGAGGGTTGTTAACTAACGCCATGTGAAACGCCAACAATGCGACCCTGCACGATTTTCAATCTCATCAGAGATACTTTTTCACTAATATGCCAATGGTCTATATTTACCTAGGACGGAAACATGGATGAGATATCCATATTGACAAACTGGCATTTATAGAAAAGAAAAGGAGCTTCAACATCTCCGCAAGGTTGTTCTATCAAGTTTCTTAATTCAATATTGGGGCCTGGATAGATATGTGGCTTAAAATCTAGCCATACATGCAGTTCCTTTATTTTTACCTAGCTTCAATATCAAAACTCTTAGACTTAAACCCGCAGTGAGTCTTGGAAGAAATATCAAACGTAAGTTACTTATTAAAGCTGACGAATGCTCATCATTTATTGGTTACAAAATACCACTTAAATAAAACTGAAACAATTCAAAAGAAAATATTAATATGATGGCTAGCATGACATTAGATATAGAAAATCTGACTTTAAAAGTGAACGGGAAAATCTAACAACCAAGTGTGAAAGAAAACTAAATAATGAGCTAACCATATATTGCAGTCTGAAGGCCGATCACATGAAACCAATTTATCCAAATTGGAGAACAGTTTCTGCATAGAATAAAGAATAGAAGCAATCAATACAAGAATCCTACATAGAATTGCAGAAAATGACATGTTTAGCTAGTTTGACTTCGAACAAGTAGTGTTGAAAATTGAAATCGTGTTCAAGGAGTGGAGGAGCATATTAGAGAACCCTGATATGTATAAGAAAGCCAAATTCACAAATTTTGAAAGCAAGCAAATAGGACATATTAGCCTACACAAAAGCAAGGGAATATTAGTCTTCAATAATTTTCTATTCTAATTTGTTGCCTAAATCCTATATTAATGGAGACAGCTTAGACTCACTTGAAAAAGAAAAAAAAAACCATCATCTAAGAAGCATGAATACGGATACAGGTATGTTATATGAGACATGAATATAACATGACACAAGACACGATGAGACGTTATTTTTAAAAAAAACCTGAGATGTGTACATGATAAGGACACATTTTTATAGAACCGAGAAATTCAAAGTCTGAGTTTATGAATTTATATAAATAAAATGAGTTTGACATACTTCTCTCTCCAAATTTATTATTTTTGTTGTATATATCTATTGTGTCTATTTAGTATCTTTAACAAGTTTTTGAAACGTGCCTAACAAATGATGGACTAATATTCACTTTGTACAACTACTAACACATGTCTATTGTATTAATAAGTGTCTAATGCATGTCCATCAAGTGTTGGAGTGTCCAAAGGTCAGATATGGATATGGTAGCTTAGCTTAAGAATGGATATTTCAGAGAGAACCTCCTCGGTATTTCAGATTATCTGAAATCAGATTCTTTGACTCCCGAATGGGATAGACAATTCTCTCAAATTTATTGTAAAAGTAAGAAACGTACAGAAGCACACTTGTTAGGTAAAACCAGAAGTGACAAATTACTGCACTCACCATCAACATTGTGGAATTGAGAGAAGATTTCTTAATGTCCTGTTTATCGAGATATGCAGCCTGCAATCATAACTGCAACTCAGATACATACTAGGATTAGGTCAAGATCACGTTCGTAGTGAAGGAATCATCAGAAAAGCATACATGAAATGGCAGCAGAATTTCAAGCAGGTTGAACCTCTGGAGCAAATAGAGAGAAGGAACAGCAGCTCCATAAGATAGCATGTAGTTAAATTCCATCATCAACCTGGACTGAAAATATAAAAATGTTATCTAAGTAACCTATCTAACAGTAGCTGCCAACTCTAAGTTACCACAACTAGGACAACCAAATAGAAAAGAGTAAAACCTCAGAAAGTATGTACTGTACTTTAAGAGCATATACTAGAGGAAAGCCTTCCTATTAAAGCTGAAGTGTACTCCGGAAAAAAAGTGAAAGCAGGAGAAGAACACGAGGTAAAGCATAGGAGATTAGTATTGTTCAACTTCCGAAAGGTTACCTTATCCAAGCTTGCGATAGAAGATGAAAGTTTACGCATTGCAGTCTCTGTATCCTTCGAGAGTGACAAACCCAAACGAGCTGCAATTCTTAAGCCACGCAGAATTCTAGCTACAGTGAAAAATTAAACATGCAATAGCAGTAGCCTAGTTAGTATTGTTGGACACCACAGGTGCCACTAGTCCCAAATGTTATCACGCCTACAGAGTACCCAAGGAAAAGTAAAACCTACCACAGTCCTCTTTGAATGACAATGATGCAGGAATTAGCGTCCGCAGCTGAGTCCAGGTCATGCAACAAATGGGGAAAAAAAATACTTGATATAGGAAGAGGGATGGACAACAGAATACAGGTAATATGCAAACTTTCCTTTGTACTGTATCTATTAGGCCCGTCCCAAAAATAAGAAAGAATGGCATAAAATATATATTTATATATAGGAAATAAATGTTTATTTTTCATCAAACAAAATGTTTCTATGCTCTTTGCAATGACGCAATCAACATCCAAGAGAACAATTATTAGTACTAATGCCAATTGCCCACATAATTTAGAGTTAAAAAGGAATTGGAATACAAGAAATGGAAATTGCTTGAACGAGTTCATTTTGTAGAAACTAAATGAATACCATATAACATTTCATGAGTAATTAATGAGCAATTCAGACATAATGACCAATTAGGTTGTTATAAAAAGGTTAAAAGGCCTGGACTATTCTTAAGAGAAAGTATCGGGCACTGACACAAATGCGTATTTTTAAAAAGGGGAAAGATCTTCACCTTCAAGGACCTTAAGTCTGCTATCCCTTCGGCATAGTCATAGATTACGTTCAGAAAAGGGTCAAAGAATAAACTGCTTCAACAAATATCAAGACAACCACGAATCAAACACAAATTTAACATGATTAGTAAATAAGTATTCAGTAGTTAATACAGGGTTTTTTGATAGAAAGCAGATTTCCAACAATGCCAAACTTAAGTTGAAGATCTAAATATCTCAGCACATTTAAAAATTATATAATGTAAAAGATCTGATATAACACTTACTAACAAGGGAAGAAGGTGAACCTCACATTGCAAAAGATATATTTCATAAAGAACATAGACAACGTGTACAGAAATGGACTATACAATAAACACAAATAGAACTGACCTGTTAATTGTGAAATCCCTATGCAGAGAGTTCCTCCACCGGATTAAGTCCTTTTCATCACACTTTCTTGGTGTTGGAGAAGACGTTACTGTTTCTTTTCCTTTAGAATGTTTTGCAACTGTTTCAAAACTTGAAACCTGATAGAAAATCACCGGAGCACATAGCAGATCAATAATTGTAAATTACTTGCCAGCGATGTATTACAAAGACTATTTGGGGATTTGAGATTTTCCCGCTTAAAAAGTGAGAAGTAAGCCTAAAGGGGGTATGAGGTGTAAACCTTGATTTATATATTTTTTTTTTAATTGAAAAAGAGGAAGAAAAATCATAAAAATGCAAATCAGGCATAAACATAATAATTATATAAAACTAGTCCCTTCGGCGAAAAAGGAAGGTCTACACCAACCGCGATCCATGAGTTCTTGGTTGTGCCTCCAGACCCATGACCCAAGACACATTCCAATGGATGAGATTCTACTTGCTCACAATAACCTTGTGCCACAAAGAACTCGGCTCCAACAGAAAATGTCATACCCATTAAGCCAACAGCGCCTCATTTGATTGAATTAATTATGGAACCTACTATAAATTTGTACCCAGTACTATTTAAAAAAAGAAATATATCAATATAAAAATAATACTGACATGCTAATTAGATTAATTTATAGCCCTAAAGAAGTCCTATGAGATGGAAATCTAGGTGAGAACAACGATGTTACTCCAAAATTCTTTACTAACTTGAACATATATCTAGTAACTAAGAAATAAGAAATCTATCTTCAAGGTGAGCTGTTCCAATCCCTACCCATAGATTGTTGAACTAAAAAAAAAATGCCTTTCAGAACATTACTTACTAGATCAAGAAAAACCAAATTCATATGTAAAAGAAGACCCATGAATATAGAAATGCTTCGCTACCTCAATGACAGAGCCTTTGATATTAACCATACAAATAGGAAAACGGCGTCCAACAATTTGAGCATGATGAAAAAGTTTGTGGATCTGCATAAGACACAACAAACCATGTCATTATTAAATACATTGATCTCACTCTTTATAGTAAAGGGAAAGTAAAAACAAAACTACAAGAAGTTACACAAAGCTTATAAAGACCTGTCTTAGTCCAGCAGTGGTAATCACATCAAAGTCTTTCGGTGCTCTATTTAGGAGCAAGTCTCTCACACATCCACCAACCAAATAGGCCTCAAACCCTAAGCATAACAAAGAAATGAAGTCCATTACGTAATGTATCAAGTTCAAATTAATAAAACAAAATGCGATATAATTGAAGAATAGGCAGCCAACTACATGTCAAGACCTTACAAGCTCAATATATAACTGATTAAGAATATGAATGGTTTCTTGGATGTTCATGAAGCAGAAGGTTTTAAACTATAGCAACATATTTAGCTACCATAACAAAACAAGGATAATTCATCCCAGCCACATTAATATTAACTGCAGCAGGATCAAATTTTGAGTTAACGACATGGACAACGTCAGTGTGATGGCTGCAAAGATTTGTTGGTGTACAAACAATGAACTTGCTACCTTTATTGTGAAGAATTTTCAAGACCATCCATGATGAAGATGGGATCATTGAACGACTGATCCCAAAAGCCCGTCCATCAACTTTATTCCATTTGGGCATGTCAATGTTGGATGCATCTACATGAATGAAACACGGTACCATAAGCCATTTAACAACCAAAAATTGCATAACGCAAGAAATAGAGTTATATTAACAGCATAAATGGCAGAGAAATCCACATTAGAAAAGATACTACTCCATTGGTAACTTCCTTCAATTGGTAACGAAAGCAAAATCCAAACTCGAACTCGAGGGGGATAAAACTACACCTTGACGACCCATTGAATGAAAATCCATTGCTGAGTAAATAGGAGCCCGAATAGGCTCTCCGTTAGTAAAAGCGTGAGTGAGCCTCTGAAATACAAAATTTCCAACGTCGTTATGGAAACAAATCAGAGCGAGTGCTGAAACTGTTCAAAGAATCGAGAAAAAGAAAGGGAACGAAGACGAAAACGAAGCCGACAAGAGAAAGGGATTAACCTGAAGCTTGATTAGGTCAAGGATGTGAGAAATGAAGCCGTTGTTGGGTCTCAGAGAAAAAAACGCCATAAGAAGAGGAGTATTGTAGCATGGCGCGCTTTGTTATTCCGCCATGGAGGCGCAAGCTTCTCAATTCTACTGTGCTTTGGTTGCTCCCGCACGCCGTATCTTCGGCGGATGAGTCCTAAATTACATATTACTCCTTTTATTTAAATTTAATCTTATTATTTAATTTTAAAAAATACCCTAATTTTTGTAAAAAAATCTTATTTTTTTTTTTTTTAATTAATTTAATGCCTTTTTTATGACGGGGGGCCGTAGATTGACAATAATTTTTAATTTTTTTAATATAAAAATTAAAATGTTAATATTATTTTAAAATATTGAAGAACAAAATATTCATCCTAAAAATAATATTATTAAAAGCTAAAAATAATATTATTAAAAGTTAAAAAAATTTAAGGGTATCTGTGAGAGAGTAGGCATAACGCGCTGGAAAGGCGCGTCATAGACATCTATGAATTCCTTGCTTTCATTTGGGTCTCTTCTCGCTCTTTTTTCCCCCTTTTTTTTTTATTTTTATTTTTATTTTTATAATTGTAAAATTATTAATGTCACCAAAACATTTCAGTTTGGTGGCAATTGGTTCCGTTCCACGACAGAGAGATCAAGCTGCTGCCATTGATTTCAACGTAGTTTTCGTGGTTAGGGTTTCCAATCTCCATTAATTTCGTCTTCTCTTCCGTTCATTCTTGTCCTGTAATTTTCTGTAATTTTTCTTTCACTTCGGCCGGCGAGGGACCTCCCGCGTACGGGAGGGATATAAGACTATGGGTGGTGGCGATGGAGATGTGTCTGGTGCCAGCGACACGACCTCTGCCGAAGGAGTCAAAGTCAACGTCAACATTCGATGTTCCAATGGTTCTAAGTTTTCTGTTCTTGTTAACCTCGAATCCTCCGTTGGATCCTTTAAATCGATCCTTGCCGAGCAGAGCGAGGTTCCACCCGATCAGCAGCGCCTGATTTACAAGGGTCGGATTTTGAAAGATGATCAAACCCTAAAAAGCTATGGTGCGTTTCTATTGGATTAATTCTGGGTTTTCTGCATTGAATTTTTAATGCTTGACAAATCTGGATTCTCATTATTTTACCTTTTTTCTTTCCTTCTTAAATTTTATTGTTGGCATTGAATTTTTTTTATTGTTCTATGAATACCGGGATGTTAGGTTTTTGATATATTGTTGGAAGTCCCTTTTTCAGTATTGTAATTGTTCATATGGTTGTATTTCTGTTAGGGTTAGAGGCAGATCACACCGTCCATTTGGTTCGTGGATCGGCACCTGCTGTGCCGCCGACCAATCCTGCTACTGCGCCCAATGCTAGCGTTCCGAACACTACTTCGACTAACGCAAGAAGTGTTGGATTAAATGAAGGTGGAGCACTGGGGGGAGGATTTGGCTTGGAATCTTCCCTATTTCCTGGACTTGGTATTGATGGGCTTGGTGCCACTGGTGGCTTGTTTGGAGCTGGTCTTCCCGAGTTTGATCAGGTACAGCAGCAGCTGACCCGCAATCCAAACATAATGAGAGAAATAATGAACATGCCTGCCATACAAAACATCATGAATAATCCAGACATCATGAGGAACTTGATCATGAACAATCCTCAAATGCGTGAAATAATGGATCGTAATCCCGAGCTTGCACACATTCTCAACGATCCCAATACTCTCCGACAGATGCTTGAGGCTGCAAGAAATCCTGAGCTTATGAGGGAGATGATGCGGAATACTGATAGAGCAATGAGCAACATAGAGTCTTCCCCAGAGGGGTTTAATATGCTTAGGCGCATGTATGAAACTGTTCAAGAGCCATTTCTAAATGCAACAACTATGTCTGGAACTGCTGGAAATGAAGCCTCGAACCCATTTGCTGCACTTATGGGGACGGGTGGGAATGTGACCAATAATACAACATCCAATTTATCTACTACTAATTCTGATACGACTAATGAATCTCCTTCTCCAAATACAAACCCACTTCCAAACCCATGGACCCCTGCTAGCAGTAAGCACTATTTTATTTGGATTTGTTTTGTCTTATATTTCCAATATATTTTTAATTATAGGCATTTCAGTTCTTGCATTTTTCTAATTATTTCAGTATGTCATGTTCCATTAACTTATGAGGATTTCAGCTAATTGTTCTGACCCTCTCCTAACAGTTTTAGTATCTAAATTTCCCATCTATCAAATTTGCGTCCATATCTTATTTTTAGAGTACGAGGATATTTTACAATCATTTAACATCAGTAATTCATCAGCTGGTGGTACCCAAACTAACACTACAAGGTCAAATCCTACTCCAAATGTTAGTGCTCAAGTTCCCACTGGTTTAGCTGGGCTTGGTCTTCCAAATCTCGAGGGCATGTTGGGTGCAACCCCAGATACCACTGGTCTGAATCAGTTAATGCAGAACCCAGCTATTTCACAGATGATGCAAAGTGTTCTATCAAACCCCCAGTATATGAACCAGGTACTCATTTGATTTCATTAGAATTTGAAGATGACGTGGACATTCTTTGTTTTTCTCACAATATCTCCTATCAGATTCTTGGTCTCAACCCTCAACTGCGTGGCATGCTTGATTCCAATCCTCAGCTTAGAGAGATGATGCAGAATCCTGAATTTCTACAACAGTTGACCTCTCCTGAGACAATGCAGGTAAATGGAATGGATCCAGATAACTGCCATGTCAACGTCCTCAGTCTACTTATATTCCCTCAATCCAACCTGATCCTATGATTCCTATCCAATCTCAATGCTCTGTATAAACATTTTCTGATTTTTTTTCTTCCTTCGCAAATCTTTTTGCAGCAAATGTTTACTTTGCAGCAACAACTTCTGTCACAGCTTGGCCGCCAGCCCACCCCGTAAGTAACGTAGTAAAATCCTCATACTTCAATTGTTTAAGCAGCATTGCTAGAAGCTAGGCTTTATCTTAATGTTTAACCAGTAGTAGTTATATTGATATTGATGATTGATTTATCCTCTTCTAAATTTAGTTGAATCAAGTTCTTAATTGTTCTCTGTAAGTATCTCCTATAGTAATTATAGTCCTTTTGATGGCGCAAACATGCCTTCTTGAAGATGTATTTTAAAATTTTATTGCTGAATTAAAATGCACATCAACGCCATTTCAAGTACCTTTTGTAATCTGACGCTTGATAGGTTTTTGGCCCCGTTTTTGTTCATTTTTATGGTTCGCAAAGAGAGTTTCTTGTTTGTTGTAAAAGAAATGTTGAATAAAAAAGTCGCAATGGGGCTTTTGTCTGTAAGAAGGGTTTTTGATTTAAAAACTTGTTAAGAACTTTTGCATCTTCATCTTCTTCTTTACAACCGTATTTAACAATTTAAATGAACTTTTTAAAGATTGGGACATGTACATCCCTTTTGTTACTTAGCATCTCTGCTTGTTATACCCTTTTGGTTCAAAGGATGAAACTAATAATTGTGTGTATAAATAAGCTTAACTAGTAGAACCTTTAACTAAGAATCTCATTCTAGAACCCTCAACAAGGGTCAAAATTATTTACTGAAAACATGTCAAATCGTGTAGCATGACATCACAAACACTAGTTTTGTTTTTGTTTTTTTTTTTTTTT